ATATATTTATGTTTTAAAATAAATATACTTTAAACTAATATATATATAAACACATATTTAGTTAATTTATTTAACATATTTAGTGACAATGAAAAGAACAAAGATATGAAGAGAAAGCTCATATCAGGAAAACGTGATTTTTCCGAGTCCTAAAAAATGCCTGCAAGAGCTTGAGAAAAAAAAAAAAGGAGAGAAACATGAGGGGAAAAAGAGAGAGGCAACAATAAGCCTGTTTCAATAGCCTGCCATGCTGACACTTCATACAGCATGCAGGAGAGAGAGAGGGAGAGAGGGAGAGAGACGGAAAGAGGGAGAGAGGGGGAGAGAGAGAGAGAGGGGGAGAGAGAGAGATGACTGCATACCAAACACTGGCATGCTTTATTCTTTGCATTCGGGCCCTGTATTTCTGTCTCGCACACACTCTTCCGTGCCTGGCTGACTTTTTAAAAACATATTTCACCTGTGTCACATAAAGGGGCAGGGACTGATGAATTGTGCTCGTGAGACTGGCTGCAGCAGCGGCAATGGAGCGTGCCTAGATTTCCACGTGCAGTCTGTCAGTCTAACTAACTGTCTGCCATATACAGATCACACTATAGACATTACAAAGTTATAAACAGCAACACTTATTGGTGCTGTTCATGCATTCCACATTTTGTGGAAAATGAAGCAATTTCAATCACTTCATCATTCAAATATACTTATGTTTATATATAAATGGCATATTTGTACATTTGTACTACGTACTATATATATATATATATATAAAATGTGTGTGCATAGAGTAGAACAATTTTGTGTGTGTGTGTGTGTGTGTGTGTGTGTGTGTATATATATATATATATATATATATAAAATCATATTTTAGTGTTTGTGTTTTTTGGACCAGTCAATCAAATATCCCAGCTATCATGGCCTAGAAAGTGTACTCAAAAAGCTAGCCATGAATAAACCAATTTTCATGAATTGTTAAGGCATAGTTTGGCACCCCACTGACACTTCTGTGTATAGCCAGTCTCAACTGAAGCACCAGCATTCAATAATGTTGAGCAAAAGCAATGAAGATGATCTGAGCATGTAAACTGCCTCTCAGGGATGTGTGTAATTCGTCAGATTAGACAAACTCACCTGCTTGTGCATTTCGATGTTCAGCCCATAGGACATCTCATAGTACTGCAAAAAAATAAAGCCAGTCAGACATGAACACGCTGCACTGCAGCTCTAATACACAGAACTGAACATCTAGGACCTCAGCGTAACATGTGCGGGCATACTGGTGCGCAGTGCGTGCTGAAGTGTTAGCCTCGCTCATCATCCACACGTCTACGAGCAGCGCAACACAACCTCAGCCGCTAAACAAGAGCAGAGAGCACCAGTGATGGAGTCAGAGTTGGATCAGGGTCGGCTCTGCCAAGCAGCAGTAGGTCCCTAAAGCAATTACCACCCACGCAAAGCGGACGCCCACCCTCCCCATCTTCCAGCGGGTGCGGACAGAGCGGGGGAACCCGATATTAGAGGGAGGGAGGGCGCTCTGGCTGATGCGCGTGAGAGCAACGCCGCACAGATTAAATGAGATTAAGCTGCTCGACGGATCAATTAGAGGCGGAATATCAGACGGTAGTATGAGGCCCGGGCTGGAGACAACGAGGTCAGAGAGGAGGGGAGGGAGTATCGTCGGGGGGATGGAGGAGAAGAGAGAGCAGAGTATACAGACAAAAGAAAGAATGGCAGACAAGGTGGAAAAGGAAGGGATGAGGGTGGACAACTAGGGAGCAGAAGAAGTCAAATCATACAAGATGGAGCCAGAAGCATCATGGCCAAATTTAAACTGATAGATTTTTGAGGCAAATGGATTTTGAATGCAGCTTCTTAAAAAAATGTACTTGCATTCTAGAAAAGTAAGTTACGCAGTTATTGAAAGTAAAATAATTACTGAAACATTTACTGAAGTGAAATATTTATTGAAGTAAATGAATAAACAAAAAAACAAGTAAATAAAATAACAATATAATATTTTATAATGTCATATTATATTTACATTATATATAAAATTATATATTATATATAAAAACTAAGTTGTTTGTAAATAAATCAATCAAATAAAAATAAAATATAAAAGAGCCACCAAATTGTAAAATAATATAATATAATATAATAAGAACTGCCAAATAAGAAGTGCTATGTAAAAAAAACAAAAAACAAATAAATATATAACAATTTAATAATAATAATAATAATAATCTCAAAGTTTTTAATAAAAAAATAAAATTAAAGCTGAAATATAATACCACATAACAGACACTAAACTGAAAAAAAGTGTAAGTGTATATTAAAAGATAAGTGGTTTGTAAATAAATACATAAAAATACATAAAAATAAATATAATAAGATCCACTAAGATGTTTGTAAATATAATAAAGACAATAATAAGACTATAAGAACTGTGACACAGGAACCACTAAACTGAGAAAAAGAAATAATATAATAACTGCCAAGTTATAAATAAATAAATAAAATAAAGCTAAATTAACATAATATAATTGACCGTTTGCAAAGAGCTTGATTGACAGATGATCTGACCAATCATAACGCCGAATCGCCATCTTGCCCAACAAACAAATTAGATAGGAGTAGATTAACTTCGGCGGACTTAAACTTGAATAATTGTGTGTATTGATGTCTTTCTGCGGTTGAAATAAAATACGTTATGATGTTCATTCATGTTTATTTCATGCTTTAAGTAAATATGAAAAGACGATCGGTTCATGTGCCCCTTGAACTGAGGCAATACAGCGATCTGTTATGACACATTACAGAGACACAAAACAGTATTTATTTTTTAAATTTCTTAAAAAAAGACAAAATTTTAAAGCTGAGACCTTGTTTTATACCAGACGTAACCTGCTCTGTCTTGCCTGTCGGTTAGTGCTGTCAAACAATTAATTGCGATTAATCGCATCCAAAATAATAGCTTTTGTTTACATAATATATGTTTGTGTACTGTGTATATATTAAACATAAACATAAATATACGCACTACACACACATTATGTAAACAAAAACTTTTATTCTGGATGCGATTAATCGCGATGAATCGTTTGACAGCACTAAATATAATATAATAGGGGCTTTCGCACCGGAGGAACCTTTTAATAGTTCCTAGAACTACTCCCGGAAGTTCCCGCTTTTTGCCGTCTTGGCACCGCAGGAACTAGGAATGTATTTAGTTCTAGGAACTCCCATTTGGGGGAACCAATTTAGCTCCTACTTCAGAGTAGGGTCAAAAACCGTTCTATAGGAACTATCAGTGGCGCAGTGTACGCTGATTTGCCAAACGCATACAAAACACCGGCTATCCGGCATTTTTAAAAAGCCGTGTAAAAATATTTACTCCACGAACATGGAAAACACCGATAACGGCATTTACCTGTTGTCTGCAGCGTTGTGTTCTTTTCTCAGTGATAACTACAAGGAGATTTAGTCAGATTTTCACACACTTTCTATTGCGTAAAATGTGCATTTACATTCCATCTCCGTTATCATGAAACCTACTACACGGCACAACACACACACAACAAAAACAGCTCCGAACACGGCATCCTCCATTCATCGGTTGTTGATGTTTGTAAATGCCGCGAATAAAGATGTCGCTGTCGGCCACTTCAGAGTTCCTGCTGCCGGTGCGAATGCAACCAGGAAAACGGCCCGAGGGAAAAATTGGTTTTCTAGAAACAACCCTGCTGGCTAGTTCCTAGAACTATGCGGTGCGAAAGTGCCTAATATAATATAATATAATACTAAACTGGAAAAAAAACAAAAAAAACAAATACAGGCATAATAAGAACCACGAAGTTGTTTGTAAATAAGCAAATATACTAACTATAGTAATAAAATATATAAAGGACCACCACATTTTAAGTAAATAAATAAACACAGGTAAGTAAAGAAAATATAACTTCCTTTAAGTCACTAGAGTACCAAGTGAGCCCAGCTACGCCACTGATGTCCCCTCAAAAAAATAGGTGCATGATGCCTCTGGGTGGACAGGAGGTACAGAATGGTAATAGAGCAGCAGAAAAGACAGCGCAGAGGCAGACAGCGAATAAGACACAATGGAATCAGACAGGTAAGGGCTAGGTTAGTTTCTTGCGGATGTGAATATGTTCCGGCACATCTAGCCTAAGGCACGTCCTTCTGGAGGAGAGTGCGTTCTGTGCAGACTTACCATGATATAATGACGCTGCATTTCTGACTTCTCACTGGCCAGCTTGTCACATTCGAGCTTCAGACTGGAGAGAGAAAAGAAAGACTGGTCAATGAAAAAAAATGTAGACAGTAGACATATATTATGCAACAGAGGCCGGTTCAGAATGCAGTTCAGAATGCTTCAGTTTTTACAATTGCTTTACATTGTTTTAAAGATTTTTCTTTTGGCTTCTTCACATTCTATTCAGTAAATAGGGAGAGGAATTTATTTTTATAACCTGTTTATTTTAGGAAAACCATACAAAAATGTCTTTATTATGTATCACATCTATAGGCTCTGAAAACAGCAAATAAGGGTCACCGATTTTCAGAGGTGGGGGAATCAAGTCACATGACTTGACTCGAGTCGCAAATTTAAGGACTTTTGACTTGCTTGACTAAATAAAGAAAATGACTTGACTTGGACGTGAGATCCAGTGACTTGAGACTTGACTTGATTTGACCTTCATGACTCGGCAGGACTTGACTTTATAACAACTCTAATTATTATTATAAATCATTGCGACATAATTTGGTAAACAAAACGCAAGCCACTGAATCAGTGGCAGAAGACAATTTAAAGCTCTTATTGATGTTTGCAGTGCAATATTTGACAGTACAGGAAAAATATCCATTATTTTGTCAATGACCGCTCATTATAGATCTATTGATTCTGCCTGAACAAATTATAGCATTTATATGACTACATTATTGAGAGAGAGAGATGCGGAGCATATGTGAATCCCCTGCTTCAGAATGAGTGCCCCTCTATAAGCTGTGGATTTCAAAAGTGTCAAAAACAGAGATGTTTCCCCCTTGTTGCTGAAAGTATAATGTAACGATTGGGTAGCAAAGGTAGGCAGGCTATTTTATTATTGGAAGTCACGAGGCAACGCTGACAAGAAGTTAATGTGCTCCCGAATGTGTTATATATTAGGCCTACATTTATCTGAATGAATTATAGCATATAGTTATTTACTTTTTTTTTTTTACTATTTGAATTAATTATCGAGAGAGAGGGAGAAAGAGCAAGAGATACTTCCATGTGCATTATGCAGGGGCGTAGCCATAATTTCAGAAGTGAGGAGGACAGAAATGTTGTGTAATACCTGTTCTTTTATTTTATTTTTCTTTGTCTGAGAAGTTTTTTTCTAATCTTTTGCTTTTATTGGCCAAGAATTTAAATACACTGCTGAACAATAATCATAATTTGCAGAGGTGGGGGACTCGAGTCACGTGACTTGACTCGAGTCGCAAATTTAAGGACTTGTGACTTGCTTGACTAAATAAAGAAAATGACTTGACTTGGACTTGAGATCCAGTGAGTTGAGACTTGACTTGACTTGACCTTCATGACTCGGCAGGACTTGATTTATAAGAACTCTAATTATTATTATAAATCATTGCGACAAAATTTGGTAAACAAAACGCAAGCCACTGAACCAGCATGACACTGCACGAGCACAGGAACACAGTGCGCCAAATACAGGGAGCAAGAGAATCTCCCGAGATGTTTGGATAAACACTTCGAAACTGTATGCATTTGCTGTATGCATTTACAAAGCCAGGACGTCGGTACTTCAGAAAGGAAAGGTATGTAAGCTTGTTCGTTAGTTGAAAACAGCATTGGTCTTAAAATTCAGCTTAAGTCTGTCATTAAATTAAAGTGATTATAAATGATTAATCTCGTGTTTGTAATTAACTATGTCGAACTTTAAATTCCCTGGCGTTTGCCTCTCAAAACAGTGCTTTAGTGTCAAGCATCCCTCTTTGTAAATAAATATATGGAATTGTACCACGGAAACCACAGTGTTTTATCGATTAGTGATGTTTCTTTTGCACCCAAAATCCAAGATATGTTGTCAAAATGGCCTTAGTATGAGTTTTTATATTTATAACATACGATATTTAGTAATATTTTCAGCACGGCTGCCAGTTCCGTTCAGCCCACAGCTAAAGAGTTACGCGCGTCTTTAAGCAACACACTGAATACTGAACGAATCCAGGGATTTGAACGAACCGGTTGAGTGATTCAGTGGCCCATTCTTGCTTGTTCATGAACAAATCAACTGTTTAGAATGAATCAGTTCAATGAACGCTTCTGTAATAAAGCAGTGACTTGCCACCACTTACTGGCGGCATTAATGTCATAGAGTAGGCCTATCATAGCCTTAAATGCATAGCTGTCAATTTAGTTCTTATTATAAAAATCAAAGAAATCAATAAGTTACAGGGGAAGATACATACACATTAACAGCAATAGGCTTCTTGTTTTGAGCCATGACAATAGTTTTCAAGAACAATGTAGGCATGGAACAATGTCATGCAAAGTGAAAGAAACAATCCAAATAGGGTGTCTATATCCGATGAAAATTTTGGGTCCATTTTATTTCTGATATAAGGGGTGATTTGTAGTCAGCATAGCATATTATTTAGCGTGCTCCCAGACTGAATCCCAGTATTTGCTGGATATATTTAGTGCAAAATAATTTTCCAACATCTGTTAAATATTATCTGTGTCTCCTAAGATGGTCAAACTCAATATAACATAAATATGAGATACATATTTTTATCTTGTATTTTTATCAATATTTTCTCAATTACAGACTTCAGTGGTATACAAAGTAGTATTTTGCCTATATTCAAAATGTTATATTTAAAACGTTATTATTTAAAATGTATAATTAAGAAAGTTAATTTCTGAGGAAAAATTAATAAGGTCGTGTGGCAAAAAAATATTTGTTCCTGTTTGATACTGTGACTTGACTTGACTTGATCCTTAGCAGGACTTGACTTGCTTGATTTGTTTGTACTGTGACTTGAGACTTGCTTGAGACTTGATGGTAGGGACTTGAGACTTGCTTGAGACTTGAACATGTGTGATTTGCCCCCACCTCTGCCGATTTTTAGCCAATCAAGTAATTAGCCAATCAAAAAGCCATCTGGCTGTCAATCATTTTGCATGTTTGGGTTTTTTCTTGTGTGATGATTTTAGGCGGCACAGTTTGAAGAAAGTAAAATGGTGGACCTTAGCAAAATGGCAGAAAACGCTTACGGAACATTTAGTCTGTCGATAAATTTTGTAATAAATCAACAGGGGTGTAAAGAGCACTCAAAAATACACTTGAGTAGAATATTCGTTCGGAGTAAAAGTACAACTTTAAATTGTATTTGAGTATTAAAAAGGAAAAGTACTGTACTAAATCAGCCACATTTAAGAATTGATACATTGTAACAAATAAAATAAAATAAAATAAAATAGGAAACCATTTTTTTTTCTCTAGGTAAATTATTTTAGAGAACATTAAGTCAGTCAAAGATTTGTGTGATAAAATTAATTGAATAAAATGTAAGAGAATTTTTAAATTTAAATTGAGTGAAATAAAAAATATAATAATACTCAAGTACAGCAATCAAGTAAAATAATAGTATTTTACACCACTGCAAATCACCCAAATCAGGATCCAAAATCAGCCACATTTAAGAATCTCTAAAATAATAAAATAAAGTAAAATAATAAAATAAAATAAAAATTTACCTGGAGAAATAAAAGTGCTTAGAGAACATTTAATCGGTCAAATATCTGTGTGATAAATTAATTGAATAAAATGTAACAGAATATTGGCTTAATTTCTTTATATATAAAATATATATATATATATGCACATCTATTATATTTAAGAAAAAGTGTCGGGACTGGATTTTCATACAACGCCGATTGGAATCGAACCAGAATTTCCCATATGAGCACCACAGCTAATCGTGCCTTCAGCATGTGTGCAAACCACTAGCCTTTCAAGCCACATTATCTCTTTTGCTCCCAAAGAAAACAAAAACTTGATTATGCTTTTTCAGTATGTAGGGAAATCCAAAAAGAAGTTGGAAGTTTTTCCATATGGAAAAAGAGCGTCGAATGGGAAAATGTCCAGTGAAAACAATCCAAGAAAAAGTATCTGATCTATATTTAAAAAAAAAGTGCCACGACATACTAGAGGTTCTTGTTTTGTCACCGTATGACAAGCATTCTGTCTCTTCATACCTCTCCAGTCTGCTGCTTCCACTTATCCCAAAAAAGGGGAAAAAAAACCTGGGCTGTTATGACTGTGTAACATATATTGGGGGTTGTCATGGTGACCATCCTCCCTGCTGCCAGGCTACCTGTGATTGGCCATGCCAGCCACCGATTGGCCGAGGCCTCCTGAAGGTTCCAAAGATGCTCTTGGACAAAAAAAAAATAAGCCAAAAAAACGACACGTTGATGGAGTTTTATTGCCGCTTCTTTCCGCCTCCAAATCGCTCCTGCTGTCATCCTTATTTTGATGTATGTATTCCCTGATCTATTTATGCATTTGTAGAAGGGAGCGACAGCTCGGCGAGGCTCTGGGGACCGCCTGCAGTACATTTCCTTTAAAAGGCTGAACGCAGCACCAAAAAAAGCCCTTGTCTTTTGAATCTCAATTGAAGTCAATGGCGGCAAATCCATGCTCTGAATACACACACAGAAAAACGTAGGGCCTATTCTTCTGTGAACCAGGGTTAAATGAGGGTTTGCTTGTTGTCATGGGAATAGGGAGGGAAAGACATGTTGCCTTAAAGACGGGACAGTAGCAGCGTCTTTGTGTCTTTAAAAGAGTCTTCCGCCTCCGTCTACAGGAGTCAAGGCATCAAACGGATCAGATCACAGTAGCTGCTCCGTGTTAATCGGCAAGGGAATGAGGCATTAGGGAAGCTTGTTAGAAAAAAAAATGCCTGCTAATAGTGAGTTTAGTCACACTGGTTTGTAGAGGACCTCCTTAAAGAAACAGTTCGAAAATAAATGTGGTTCTGAACTCGTATGGCTGTCTTTCTTCTGTGGAACACAAAATGAAAATGTTTCATAATGTGCTGGTCGCTCTTTTATAGTGTAGTCTGATTCCAGAGCAAATGACTCTTATGAACTGGTTCTTTTAAGGGATCGCACAAGAAGACTCACAAGTCTGAATCAATCTGATGATTCTGATTAACATTTGACTTAATAAATCACGAGTCATTACTTTCGAATGTGTAACTTTCTGTTTGCTCTTTTCTACTATAGTCGGATTCAAGAACACACGAGTAGGGCTGGGTATCGTTCAAAAATTTTCGATATCGATACCGATACATTGACTTCGATACCGGTTCCTGAACGATACTTTTTTCGATACCAGTTTTATGAAATCAATTTTAACAAGGTTTTATTTTTCAGCTTGTTGATGTTTATACAAACTCAAAGACTCATCTCCTGAGCCACTGCACAAAGGAACAAAATGTAACCAACAGAATAAATCAGTGCAAATAGTTTTAATAAAGCTCAAATAGTCTTCAGTTTACACATCTATTAAGCTACATTTACACTAGTGCGTGTTCGTTTTAAAACGCAACTCAGACAGAATCATGATTTCTATTTATTTTCCACTGATTTACTGATGAGCATTAGCAGCTTCCAGCGCTGTCTGCCTGTGAACCAACACAATAAATCAGTGCAAATGGTTTTAATAAAGCTCAAATAGTCTTCAGTTTATACATCTGTTAGGCTACATTTACACTAGCGTGTGTTCGTTTTAAAATGCATAGCTCAGAATCATGATTTCTATTTATTTTCCACTGATTTACTGATGAGCATTAGCAGCTTCCAGCGCTGTCTGTCTGTGTTCTCTCTTCTGACTCCGAGTCAGAGCAGAAGTAATAACATATTTAATTTCAGCAACATTACATGGCCAAAACACACATTAGACGGCAATCGGAAGTTATTACAAACACTCGATGGTGGTTTAAAGTGAGTTTTAACCACCATTATAAATCAAATTTATTGTCTTATGTAGCATGATGCTACAGTTTGCATGAATGGTCACATAACACGCGCTTTCGGTCGTGTAACGTGAACGGACATCTGCATATGATCAGAACTCCACGCAGCTCCCGCGCTACTCTCCATTGGAAATGAATGACTGAATGACTGGTCTGTCACTTGTCGGAGATAGTGGAAAGTCAACTTGAAATGCCAGTATGACGAGGATCGTTTTCATTTTAAAACACATAAACGCACCAGTGTAAATGTAGCCTTACATCTAAGGGGGCTGGGACGCATTCACACTACAGCCTCACGTGTGCGCCACATCTCTGAGTGTAACCGGTGTAAACTAGTAGGTGTGTTCGACTTGACGCGGACCGACTGTGCAGGCCGATCGGTGTATTACAGTACCACTAGTAACTGAATTATCACCTATCTCACTCACTGAATCACGAGTCATTACTTTCCGACTCGTAATGTGCTGGTTGCTCTTTTCTACTATAATCAGATTCCAGAACAAATGACTCTATTAATGGTTGTATTAATGAATCACACAAAAAGACTCATGAGTTATGGGTTAGAATTAATCTGGTGATTCCTTCACAGAATGAACTCACTGAATCGGAGTAGTAACTGAATTATCATCTAACTCACTCACTGAATCACGAGTCATTACTTTCCGACTCGTAATGTGCTGGTTGCTCTTTTCTACTATAATTAGATTCCAGAACAAATGACTCTATTAATGGTTGTATTAATGAATCACACAAAAAGACTCATGAATTATGGGACATTGCAATTCCAACTGAATGGCCGGGTCACTGAGTGAATTCAACTGAACTGAATCTGTCAGATTTGTGAAAAAAAATAATTCAGACTGTTTTTCAACCAATTCACTGAAAAGATCTGACTCAAAATAACGATTCATTCACAAACCAGACATCGACTATTTTTCTCATGAATGCATCAAAGAAAACAATTTTCGAAGTCAAGGTTATCTTTCAAAAATGACTCAAATCTTTGTCTGTTCCTTGCACAAAACCATCACATGATTTCAGAAGAGTTTGAATAAACTATTAAACTATTGAGTAAACTATTCATATGAACCAATTTTATGATGCTTTTGAGTCCTTTTGAAGCTTTTGTAAAAGAGCAACCAGCACATTCTTCAAAACATCTTTTGTATTCCACAGAACACTGTTATTGTTAACCAAAACTTTAAACATTTCAGTAAATTAAAAATATTAGATGAAAAACTTCAATTTCAGTTTTAAAAGCAATGCTTCTATTTTTGATATTACATTTAAGTCGAAATTCTAAAAATGCTAAAACTAAAACTTTAATTAAAATAAATTTAAGACAAATATAAATAAATAAACAAATCTGACAAAAGCACATAGCAAAATTAATCAAACAAACTACAATTAAAATGAAAACTGGAAATATAAAAACCAAAAGCTAATTTAATATATTAATAAATACCATAACGGTATATAAACAATACAAAAATAACACCGCCAAAGAAAGAACATTAAGTTTAAAACAATGAGGGTGAATAAATGACAGACTGTCATTTTTAGGTGAACTATTGCTTTAAAGGGATACTCCACCCCAAAATGAAAATTTTGTCATTAATCACTTACCCCCATGTCGTTCCAAACCCGTAAAAGCTTTGTTCGTCTTCGGAACACAATTTAAGATATTTTGGATGA